AGAAAACTGCACTATTCCTCCTCAACCACAAATCCAGCGGATTTTTCTCAACAATGGAGTGGTTTTCCAATTGGCAGTTCCTCTTCATATAACTAACAAAGACTTGTTAATCGAAAAATAAAAACAAGTACAAAGGAAAATGGCAAATTTCAGAGCTTTATCCAAATGCATTTCCAATGAAAAAACATTCTTAGAAAGTGCATGGATTTTTAGGGGGTTCGTCTCTGCCACAAGTCCATCTCACAGAGCTGTGAGTTTGTCCATTTTTTACTGTTTATTTATTTATTTATTGGAAAATAAGTATATGCATACTGTCCAAATAAACATATAATTAAAAAAAAAAAATCCTTTCTTTTTCGATTTATTGATGAATCTTGACGTTTAAAAGGCGAAGATTGATAAAGAGACATGTGGAAAAGTGATCGAAGCTGCAGAATCAGTGAAAGATGGCACACAAGAAGTGGTTCAAGAAGTAAAACGTGTTGGTAAATTTGTCACAGACAAAATCGCCCATACTGCTGGAACTGTACGCAATTCTCTAAATTTTAGTAATTTTTCTATTATTAATTATTTACACCTTTTGCTTATTTTCTATGTAAATAATCACTTATGGTAAATTCTGAATAATATATTTGGTCAGGTGATTGCCGATGCAGCTAAAAAGGGACTTGAGAAAGCTGCAGAGACAGCTGATACTAAAAAAGGAAAAGATGTTTGGGACACTGCTAAGGTTGCCACTGAAGCTTTCAAGGACAAACTAGATAATAAAAAAGACTAGTGTAATGTAGTTTAGGACGAAATTTTGGTACTTCTCAATTCATTTCTTGAATCGAAGTCGAGTTTCGACTGATGTATTTGATTTTACTTTCGATCCAATTACTTCGAACCCTGGACGAAGTGAAAGTGAACTCTTGAAAGTTGTATTTTTATTATGCTGGACTTTATGAATTTATTTAGTATTTAAATAATAACTTAAATAACTTTTCATTAGTCCCACCTGGTTTGGTTGTGTTCAAAGTATCTCCAAATACTCCTTTTTTTAGCAAGGCCAAACATGCTAGATCTGTTGGGACGTGAGTATATGTAAATGGTTGTTAAGGTAAATAAAATATTTAAGTTTAAATCGCAAGAACGTAATTAAACACTAGAAAATGGAAAGAAAGAAGATAAGAAGAGGAAAACAAAGTAAAAACGAAATCCAAGACAAGTGAAAACATTTAAAACAATATTACCATACAGCGGTGCTAACGGATTACAATATTTGTCTCTCAAGATACAACGGATACAATTTATGATAGAAGCACTTCAAACCACAAGTAACATCGAATTTAGAACGAATTTTTTCTTTCTAAACGAAAATTGTTTTAAAATGACTTTTGAAGAGTATTTTGCAAATTTTTTTGATCTAATGCTCAATGAAAATGATATAGAATACTTAATGGATGTCTAAAGGGTCCTTTCTATAGAAGATGAAAGGTTGTGAGTGAAATGTCGCGCCCAAACTCAGCAACATTTGCCAAATGTCGTAGCATTTGTTATCGCTAGCCTACCGCAGTGCTCTCGTTAACCTGTCACTCGAGCAACAGTCTTTATCATTAGAGCTCCCTCGCTCGAGCGATAGGCAAGCAATAGAGTTAGTCATTTTTGAACCTATATGTTCTCTTTTCTATCCAATTTTAAACCTCAATTTCTCATTCATTCGGAATTGATTTTGAGATTCCATATATACCACGACGATCTATTTGACAAATAGAACAAGTTAGTCTATTTATATTCATAATTTGACTATCGGATCAAATACGAAACTTGATCAAAGTTGACACGAAAGTCACTTTTCCATTATTTATTTTCATTCTCTAAACCAAATTCCAACAAGATCAACATGTTTGGCTAAGCTTAAAATATTTACTTAAGGTAAAATAAATAATGTTTGACCGATAGATGTCAAAAATATCTAGTGCTTTTACAGATTTTTCTAAGAATACAGTTTAAAAATAAGAAAGAGGCAAAAAAAAAACGTGAAAAATAATTTTTTTGGGAGAATAATCACTTTGAAAAAGCCTAATTTTTGAAGTTATCTTGTGAAAGGACCAAAACATCACATGCACAAAGTTACATGTTGCTCAGAAGGACCAAAATATCACATGCACAGAGCTACTTGTTGCACATCTTAACAAACAATTTCTCTACCATTTCATATGATTATCTACACGAGGATACATGAATGTCTAGTAGAAAAGACCAAAGAATAATCATAACCTTACATATTTCTTATGTATTGTTGGATTTTGATATTCAATAAATTCAGATTATGATGATAAGTCGATGTTGGGAATTTTATCGACACCAAAGTGATGGCTCAACCCATAAACAAGTTTGAACAATTTAGGATGGCCCATAAGTTTAGTCCAAGTAGTGGTTATGAGTTGGGTTATTGATTGGTGGCTTTGGATTATTATTGGCCCATTTAGAGAGTAACTTGGCCCATAATTGGAGTGACCTAATTTGAGGGTTACATACACTTGCCTTAACTGTTTTCCCAGTTTGAATTTGTGCATGTATTTTGCAAGAGAGGAGAGAGATATGAAAGGTGGCCAAGAGAGAAGAGAGGTAGTTGAGTGAGGTAATTTATTTAGTAAGATTGAACCATTGTTTTCTCCTCATTCCTTTCTTTGTAGTTTGCAAATCATCACCTCCTTTGTGACCTTCGTGGGTGAGAAAAACTTGTGGCAAGTAGAGTGTAAAAGTTGTAGGTTGAGCCTCGATTCTTGCGGTGATCGTCTGGTTGATTTCTGAGATTATTTGCTTTTACTTGAGTTTTCTTGACCTTAGTCCTGGTAAGTACATTGAGCAGGTATGGTATACGTTTTAGGTTCGAAACACGAGGTAAAATTTGTGATACCAATTTTGTTGATTATCTTGATTATGCAGGTATAAACTTTTTTTTTCTTGCAGGTTGATTGGGTATCAAGGTGAAGATTTGTTAAGTTTTATTGACTTTAGCTCTGGTGAGTATATGAAAAAGGTGTGGTATGTATTTTGGGTACAAAACACGAGCTAAGATTCATGATATCAATTTTATTGGTTACCTTGATTATGCAGGTATAAACTTTATATTTTGTTTGCTTCTAGGTTGATTGGATATAAAGATGAAAATTTGTTCGTTTTTTATACCCAATAAATTCAGGCAATGATGATAAATCGATGTTGAGAATTTTATCGACATTGAAGTGATGATTTGACTCAGAAACAACTTTGAACACTTTACGATGGCTCATGAGTTTAGCCCAAGTAGTGGTTATTGAGTTGGATTATTGATTGGTGGCTTTGGATTATTATTAACCCATTTAGAGAGTAATTTGGCCCATAATTGGAGTGACCTAATTTGATTTTTATATATACTTGTCTTAGCCGTTTTCCTCTTGAGTTTGAATTTGTGTGTATTTTGTAAGAGAGGAGAGAGTTGAGTTGAGAAAGGCAGCTAAGAGAGAAGGCGGGTAGTCGAATGAGGTGATTTCCATAGTAAGACTCAACCATCATTTTCTCTTCTCCTTCCTCCTTTATGGCTTGCAAATCACCACCCCCTTCGTGTCCTTTGTGGGTGACAAAAACTTGTGGCAACCAGAGTGTAGAAGTTGTAGGTCGAGCCTTAGTTCTTGCAATGTTCATTTGGTTGATTTCTGAGGCCGAATCAAAGATTTCTCAAGGGATTTTAACATGTACTATAATAACTTGATTACTACATGATGGTGAATATAAAAGCTAGAAAATTAGAAATTGTGATCGAAGTTTGGCTCAAATTTGTACAAAGTCAAGATCTTGTAAAACTTGACGCTTAATAAATTAGCAATCATGTTTGGTGTACATAATTTTTTACATCATCCCTTACACTTTACCAAATGGTATCATTCAATTAAACAATTTAAAAATATAATAATATTTTTTTCAACCAATCATTTTTTTAACAACAAAACAAATGTCATTCGTAATGTACAAAATTGCAAGTGACATAATTCATAAACTAGATAACAGGTAAAAGTCAAAATAAATTTTAAGCTAGGATTGAGAACGTATTAAGAGCCCGTCTTAATTGTAGGTGATAAGTGTATTTTATACTCTTATTCGGAGTCTAAAATAACAATATTTGATAATTCTTTTCACAAAATACATCCTAAATTGTTGTATTTTA